TTCCTCAGTAAACACCTCAAATTTTCCTTTCTTTTAGCCGTCGACGTGTGTCACCTGCATCACCCAGGTGGTTAATGAGTCTTCCTCCCACAGATGGCACGTATCTAAACAGAGAATTTTAGTTGGGGGCCAGGAAGGTGCCAGGAGTCATTTGGAAACAAAGTTGGGATCTGGAGAGGTCTCAGATGGCAAAAAAGAGCTGAGAAAAGGCAAGGGCCAAGCCCCTAAGCAACTGAGGAGAAGGAGAATTAGAAATTGCTATTGGGTTTCATCCAGTCGATGCCAATATATAACAACCCCCTATGACAGCAGAAATGCCACACTAGGCTGTAATCTTTACAGAAACAGATCATTAAGTCTTTCACCCATGGAGCCACTCAATGGGTTTGAACCATCAATCTTCATGTTTATAGCCAAGCATTTAACCATTGTGTGACAAGGCTTCTTGTAAATGAATTTGTGGCACAGAAATTGGGAGAGGAAGTTTTCAGAGATGAACTGGATACTTCAGATTTCACACCTATTCTGTGCAGCTCCCCCTTTACCTCTCAAGAGATCAACCCACAGCCCACCCAACTTACCCCCATTCCACTCCAGAGAGTGAAAGAGGTTGGGACTGAGCAGCCTTAGGTGAGCTGGCAGGGAGGGGCTGTAGTGCTTGCTGGGAAACAGCAGGGTCATGCTGCTGGCACAGAAGGACCCCTCACACCACACAAGACCTTGGAAGATCTAGTTTAGAGGAATGAGGGTTTTTAAAAGTGCATGGTGGATTCACACGGTGACCACCACAATGGGCTTGAGCATGACAGAGGTCGTGGGGACGGTGCAGGACAGGGCCAGGCTCCAAGCTGTTGCTCATCGGGTTGCTACGAGTTGTAGTGGACTCAGCTGCACCTAACACCACCACCATTCACTTGAGGATCTAATTGCTCTGCCTACTGTCAAATACATACAGAGTAGGTGAGTAATAACTGACAGCTACCATCTGTTGAGTTTCTTTATCACACACCGTGCAATTTAAACTTCACCTGTTAGGGAGCTCTGGTGGCCTAGTGTCAAGACACTGAACTGCAATCCCAAAGGTATGCGGTTCAAATCCACCAGATGCTCTGCTGGAGAAGGAGGGGGCAATCTCCTCCTGTACCAGTTAGATCTGATTTGATGGTACACCTAAAAACAATACAATAAACTTCACCTGTTAAATCCTCACAACAATCCAATTAGATAGAATTATTATCCTACTCTTGAAAGTAAGACTGTCAGGACTTTGCCTCGTGTACTTTGGAGATGTTAACAGGCAAGTCTCTGGAGGATGATACCATGCTAGTGTAAAAGAGTACATGCAACATGGGGATGGCAGGATCTGACCTCTGCTGACTCCACAAAGGAGAATTGTCTCCATCACCAACATCAGCAGTTCAAAACCAATTCCTCTCAGGTCTCCCTCCTTCCTACAACTTCTGCTGATTCCAATACCAATCAGACAGCTCTCCTGGGTCTGAAATCCATTGCAATGACCACACACATTTCACAGAACCAAACTCAAGGTTATAGGGTTCATTAGGGAAGTTAACAGGTTACAGTTATTATTACAATTGTTATTGCTGTTGTTAGGTGCCATCAAGTGGAATGCAACTCATCTGATCCTATGAACAATCATTCTGAACCCCCTGTCCTATCCTGTGCCAACCTCACAATCTCTGATAAACTCAAACCCATTGGCATAGTCACCATGCCAGTCCACCTGGTTGAGGATCTTATTTTCCTTTACTGTCCCTCCATCTTCCTAAGCATTATGTCCCTCTCCAAGAAATAACCTCTCCTCAAAGTATGTGAGACAAAGCTTTATAATCTTTGCCTCCAAGGAGCACTCTGGCTGACCCTTTTCCAAGACATATTTGTTTGTTTTTTATTAAGTCCATGGAATCTTCTCCAACACCACAGTTCAAAGGCATCAATTGTTCTGTCCTCATTCGTCATTGCTACCTCTCAGATGCATAGCAAGTGACTGAAAAGATAATTCCTTAATCCAGATAGCTTTTCAAGTGTGCTCACAGATCATTTGACTTTTAGCTCTTAACATTCAGGTACACGGTTCCCTTAATCATGCCTGTGTGAAGACTCCTGGCTCTGTGGGACAGTGGTCACAGGTATACTCTGTCTCTTATCAGTCTCTGGTTTTCTATTGAGGCTACTGTTATTCTCATCTGACTGGTGCAGAAAATCGTGAAGAACATGCGCTTCACTTTCTGCTTCCTTTTCCTTACTCGTAATTTCAGCCCCACTTTTGATGTTAAATCTGAACAATATAACTTGGTAGATTGGTAAAAATCTACCAAGCCCATTATTATTACTTTATTCACACCTTATTTTAAGTTCTCTTCCACTTATGTGATCAAAGTAAAAGTCAAAGATTAGGAAAGTAATTTTGAACAATAAAGCCTTGAAACAACATTTTTACAGGTCAGAGATCTTGGACTCTGTGAGATTCGATAATTTGCCAGTCGTTACGCATGAATAAATTGTGAGACCAAGACTCAAACTTGGATCTGATTGATTCCCACAAAGATGTGGTAACAGTAGTTAACCCTTTGCCATGGATTACAAAGAAATTCACCCTACTCTTTATATTTACCCCTGATGTTTTAAAATTTTCTATATAAAGTGGAGACAAGTTGATAATCATATAAACGAATAACACAATTTTGAAAAATAAGCCTTTGATAAATGTCCATCAACAGATTAACGAATAAACAAAATGTGATATCTACATACAATGAACTACTTTTTCATTTCATAAAGAGAAATGAAATCATGGTACATGTGACAATGTTGAGTACATGTACCAAGTTGAGTCTTGAAAGTATCTTTCTGCGTGAAGTAAGTTCATCACAAAAGGACAAATATTGCATGTCCACACTCACATGAAATAGCAAGACTAGGCAGATGTATAGGGAGCTTTCGTGGTCTAGTGGGTAAGGAATTGGGCTGCCAATCTTAAGACAGGCAGTTCAACTCCACTAGCTGCTCCTTGGGAGAAAGAAAGGCAATTGCCTCCTCTGAAAATTCACTAGAGGGTCAGCTAAGAGTCAATTCCTACTCAACAGAGTAAAACAACAACTGTAACAATAGGCAAAGGTATAGAAACTGAAAGGGCCTAAATAGTGCGAATATTTGTCACTGGATGCTAACTTAAATGTTGGCTGAGCAAATTCACCCAGCAGCTGCACAGAGGAAAGGACTGGTAAACTGCTTCTGTAACAGTCACAGCCAAGAAAACTTGATGAAGCAGTGCTATCTCCTTTGACACCTGAAGTCACCAGGAGGCGGGGCCAATGCCACAACAGCTAACAACAGTAAAGAAGACTCCCCACAACAAGATAAAGGTAAACAATCCAATTGAAAAATGGGCACAGAATATGAACAGACACTTCACCAAAGATGGCATTCAAAGATGGCTAACAAACACATGAAGAAATGTTCAAAGTTCTAGCTCTAAGAGAGATGCAAATCAAAACAACTATGAGATATCATCTCATCCCAGTAAGAATAGCAAAATTTAACAAAACAGCAAGCAACAAATGCTGGCGAGGTTGTGGAGAAACTGGAACCCTTGTTCACTGTTGGTGGGAGTGTAAAATTGTGCAACTACTGAGGAAGGTTGTATGGCGCTTTCTCAAAAAGTTGCAAATAGAGATACCATTTGACCCAGCAATTCCACTACTAGGAATATACCCCAAAGAGACCATAACTGACATCCA